TTTCTTTCTTTCTTTCTTTCATTCTTATTTTTAGATAGGGTCTCACTTTATATCCCATGGTCACAAACTCATGATCCTCCTGCTTCAGTCTTCTAAATGCTGGGATTACAGGTGTGCACTACCATGCCTGGCTCCTGTTTTTTCCCCTCCCTGTGTGAGCAGAGTACCTCATACTCTTGCCTGTTTGAGCTGAGCATCACCCAGAAACATGGAACAGAGTGAGGCTCAGGTCCTCCTCTGAGAAGTCGCTTGACACCTAATTACCCCATGGACTGTATGTAGCTGGTTTTGATTGTTGAGAAAACTTTCTTTTCTTCATATAAATGCTCTGATACCAGAGGCTACTCTGAGGTATCTACTCTGAATCTTACTGTGCGCTATCCCTGTCCCAGGCTCTATAATTTATCTGTGATATAGTGACCTTGAGAGCAGGACATGATCTACTCTTTTTAAAGCTTTGTGACAGCCCTGCGTGGTCCTGTCCAGGCCTCAGTAAACACTGTGGATCAGCCCGTGCTGAGCTGCTCCAGCTTCCTGCCTCTGAGCCTTTGTCCCTGCTGTCCTTGCCTTCTAGGATGTTCCTTCTTCCTCCCTGTGCCAGCCCAGGCCCTCCCAGGCCTTTAGTGCCCGGCTCAAGTACACTCCTCTCCATCTAACCTTCTAGATTCCCATCCCCCAGCATGTTCCTGCCACACTCTGTTCACTCCATTTGTTCAGTTTCAAAGCCTGATGGGCACTGTGCTGTTTCATCTTTATCAATTTCACTGGATTTGGAATCATGTAGGAGACACACCTCTGGGTATGTCTGTGAGGGGGTTTCTAGAGAGGCTTAACTGAGGAGGGAAGACCCACCTTGAATGTGGGTGGTACTTTCCCATGAATTGGTGCCCCAGACCAAATAACCAGAGACAAAGGACAAAGCAGGCAGAGATGAGCATTCATCTCTCTGCTTCCTGACCAAGGGGGCATGTGATCAGCTGCCTCCTGCTCCTGCTGCCAGGCCTTCTCTACAATGATGGACTGTGTCTCTTTAAACCAGCAGCCAATAAACCCTTCCTTCATTAGGTTGCTTTTCCCAGATGTTTTCTCACAGTGATGAGAAAAGACCAATACAGGCTTTCTCCCCATTTTCTCCTGCCGTGATTCCTTTCAAGAGACCTGAGATACAAACATTATTCGTATTCCCTTGATGAGGGAGTTTAAGTTCAGAGAGGCTCAGTGATTTCCCAGATCTCAACTCAAATTGCAGAGCTAGGATTCCAACTTTCAACGTCCCATTTTGAGTCCAGTGCTCCCTGTATAGCACTGTCAGATTCCTGATGACCTGTCACTGTTT